TCTCAGCCTCCCTAGCTGGGACTACAGGCCTGTACCACCACATCTAGCTATTTTTGTATTTTTTGTAGAGACAGGTTCTTGCTATGCTGCCTAGTCTGGTCTTGAACTCCTGCACTCAAGTGATCCTCCTGCATTGGCCTCTGAAAGTGCTGGGATTACAGGCCCAAGCCACCACATTCAGCTGATGCATTGCTGTTGAAATTCCAGCCTCCAGAACTGTATTTCTGGCCAGGCGTGGTACCTCACACCTGTAATCCCAGCACTTTGGGAGTCTGAGGCAGGTGGGTCACTTGAAATCAGAAGTTTGAAACCAGCCTGGCTTTCATGGTGAAACACTCTCTCTACTAAAAATACAAAAATTAGCCAGGCGAGGTAATGTTACTTGGGAGAATCACTTGAACCCAGGAGGCGGAGATTGCATTGAGCCGAGATTGTGCCACCACACTCCAGCCTGGACTCCATCTCAAAACAAAAACAAAAACAAAGCCACCAAAAACATGTCTGTTGTTTAAGCCACCCAGTCTGTGATATTTTGTTATGGCAGTTCCTTGAAAACTAACAGAGTCCAGAAAACAATTTGTCAACCAACTTCCAAACAGCAAAAATCATATATAGGCTTGGGAAGAAATGAAAGACACAAGAGCAATACCCATCCTCAGATGTTAACAGAGGATGAATGACAGGCAGTAACATCACCCCGCACATCACATGTTGGTGGGAACTGCTAGGGAAGAAATTCAGAATTTCAAAAGGATTTGTTTTAGCTAAGACATGTCAGCAGATGGGCGGGGAGGGCATGGAGGGAGAAGGGGAGAAGGATAAATGGTAACCATTTACGACTTTCTCTCCTCTAGAAGCCAGGTGGGAGACTGGCAGATTTAATAGTTTTCATTTACATTTCAGTGACATGCTTACCAAAGTGATGATCACTTCATTTTATTAAATGTTACAAAAATGCCAAAAAGAAACTGTTACCTAATGCTTTTTTTCTGAGACAAAGTTTTATTCTTGTTGCCCAGGCTGGAGTTCCATGGTGCCATCTCTGCTCACTGCAACCTCCGCCTCCTGGGTTCAAGCGATTCTTCTGCCTCAGCCTCCTGAGTGCTTGGGATTACAGGCACCCACTACCCCACCCAGCTAATTTTTGTATTTTTTTTAGTAGAGACGAGGTTTCACCATGTTGGCCAGGCTGGTCTTGAGCTCCTGATCTCAAGTGATTCGCCCACCTCTGTCTCCCAAAGTGCTGGGATTACAGGTGTGAGCCACCACGCCCGACTGCCTAATGCATTTTATTAGGAAAATGTGATACCGGTCCTCAAGTCTGATAAGCCCAGCACTAGAGAGTTCTAAGCAATGCAAAACATCCCGGGAGTGGTCTGCCTCTAATCTGCACTTGAGAGTGCCTGCAAGGTGTGGGGCGAAACAGGCAATAGACCCGGAACCAGGAGACTTGGATCTGAGTCTCAGCGTTGCTCTTGAGCAGCTTTGGGCTAGGGGCATACCATTTAACCTCTCTATCCATCAGTTTCCTAAGTTTGTAAAATGCTTACAATACTCCGTATGCAGGGTCGTTTGAAAACCCTGACGTTGTCCCAGGCTGTTGGTACAGGTGAGGTTATAGCAATTTAACACCGGGGTTATGGCAGCTCAATGTAAAATTGCCTTGACCAGCCTGGCCAGTGTGGTGGAACCCCTTCTCTACTAAAAATACAAAAGTAGGCAGGATGTGGTAGTGTGTGCCTGTAGTCCTAGATACTCAGGAGGCTGAGACAGGAGAATCGCTAGAACCCGGGAGGCAGAGGCTGCAGTGAGCTGAGATCGCGCCACTGCACTCTAGCCTGGGTGACTGGACAACAGAGCGAGACTCCATGTCAACAAAACAAACAAAACAAAACAGAACTGGGTCTTGAAAGAGCCTCCACAACAGTTTCTGGGTGTTCCTGGTTTCTCCGGTGCTCAGAGACAGGTGAGCTCATCTTGCATCTGGCCCCCTGGAAGACAGCCCCCCAGCCAGCGGAGGAAGGCACCCTGTCTCTGGCCTAGCCCCAGCTGCTGTTGCCAACCCTGGAGACAGATGCTCTTCTCTGATCCTGGGTTCTCTCCCGCAGGGTCCCTACAGGTTGTTCCATTTAGTTCTTCATCCATGGCACTTTCTGCTTTCTTTCCATGCCTGCTTCTGTAGGGCAGACTCAGACTGGGCTGGGGCCGACATTGTCTGGTCCTTCGAGGGCCCTTCTCCCCCTGGCTACCTGCATTTGCATCCCCCTCCTCCTTAAGCAAGAAATAAAGTGCAGGTGCATCACCCCTGCCTGGGGACACAGCTGCGTGCGCACACGGCGGGGAGTCCTCCGTCCTCAGCACCTGCTCAGGTCAGTGTAGGCCCCTGTAGCAGAAATGTTGGGTTTACAGGTCCTCAATCCTTTCCCTGAACTCAGCACCACAGGTGTCTTGGAATTCAGAATACGTCAAGGCAGAGGAAGATGCTGTGTGGATCCTGTGCTACGCATTCCGCTGTGATTCCGTGGACTGTGGACAGCAATGCATGGTCACTCCGCTAACGGTCCTGGGTGGGACTGGCAGGATTCACGATCACAGGACAATGTGGGGAGCAGAAGTCACCTCACATCAGTTCAAGTCAGGGTGCGTCACTCAATGTGTTTGTGGCAAAGTTTGGAAACAACGTTTTGGGTTTCAGAGCTTTTTGGAGTTGAGAATCATGGCTAATACATTGGAGAGCTGCGTTATCCTTTTTCTGGGTGTGGCTGCATCTCCCTGTCTGGACATCCCCACTCTGGGGAGAAGCAGAGAGGAAAGGTGGAAAGCCAAGCGTTTATTCTGCGTTGACTGTGTTCTGGGTGCACATCCAGCTCTTTGACTGATGTCAGTCCACTAAGAGGGTGGGGACAGGTCTGAACCTCTCATTCAGGACAAAGGTCAGCTCAGCCTGACCAGGAGCAGGAAGTGGCCCTAGCTCAGCTGCTAATGTGTTTACTCACAGCCTGGAGCAGGTGGGAGGGCCATCTGCTAATCTCTCGCAGCTGCTGCTCCAGGATGGCTGAGAGAGGGGCCCTGGAGAGGCTCCTTGGAGAGGCCTGCAGCGCTGAGCAGAGCTCCTCATGGTCTTGATCAGCTCTGCCAGCTCCTGCCTGCCAGTGGTGGAGGAAAAGACCTTTCCCCAAGGGGTGTGGGCTCAGGGGCCTCAGCAGAAGCTCAGGGTCATCTCCAGCTAGGTCCTCCTTTTCTGCTATCCTAGTGCCCTGGGCTAAGAGACCATTTTCTTTCTCCTCATTGGCAACAACAAAAACTATGGCCACAGAGCTGGTTCTGGGCCCACCGACCTGTTCTGGCTTAGGGCAGGGAGTAATGTGGACTTGAACCAGAGTGTTGGAGACCTAAGAGGCTGTGTCTCCTGGGGCTAGACAGACTCGGGCCTGGGCTTATCACATCTGATTTAAGATCACCCCTTTCTGGCTAGCCCTGGGGGTTCTGGCCTAGACCCAGCTGCTGTTGCTAAGCATAGAGCCCCCTCCCATTGCTCAGCTCACCCTCTTTGATTGCCCCAGCCCAGGAAATGCCTTGAGTGCTGAAGATACCTTTCTTTTCAAATTCTGGCATTGCCACTGGGAGCTGAGAGGTGATCAATTCAAGGAATGAGAGACAGGCACTAGGAAACGGGGGAGGGCTGGAGACAATTCACATCCATCTGTCCATCTGTCTGTCTGTCCATCCATCCATCTGTCTATCCATCTGTCCATCCATCTATCCATCCATGCATCCATCCATCTGTCCATCCATCCATTCATCATCCATCCATCTATTCATCTGTCCATCCATCCATGCATCCGTCCATCTACCCATCTGTCCGTCCATCCATCTGTCCATCTATCTGTCTGCCCATCCATCTGTCATCCATCCATCCATCTATCCACTCTAACATCCATCAGTCTGTCTGTCAATCCATCAGTCTGTCAGCCCATCTGTCTGTCCATCCATCCATCTGTCCATCTATCTGTCTGTCCATCCGTCATCCATCCATCCATCTATCCACTCTAACATCCATCAGTCTGTCAGTCCATCTGTCTGTCCACCCATTCATCTGTCCATCCATCCATCTATCCATTTCTCCATCCATTCAACCAACATTAATCTATCATTCATGATGAGCCAGGCAAAATGCCCCTTGCAAAGGAATGCCCACAGCGCTGATGCTATTAGCCTATGCCTGGCAGAGCCCTTTTGTCTTCCCAGGAAATAGGGATCACTGGTGAAGCAAATGTAAGAGTTGGCTGAGTTGTCCTCCTCTCTACCTGGGAGCCACACCCAAAGGAGGGGCCTCCACCCCCACCCAAGGAAAGCAGTGTGTTGATAAATATTTTTGGGGCACAACTTCGAAGGCCCCAGTACTTGTGGCTATGAACCACCTTGAGCTCCCCAGCTGGGACCCCTCCTCTATACTTCTGCCCCTTTGGGGAGCCCTGAAGGCTCCATCACAAGCTTCACTGCCATGCCCTTGGGTTGTGACGCCAAAGTGCATGGCAGGTAGGCATCGTGGATGACCTGTCGGACAGTGGCCCGGAAAGTCTTGCTGACAAAGCAGTAGAGGCCAAAGTTGACCGCTGTGTTGAGCATGGCCACCATGTTGGCCACGTCCAAGGCCAGGTGGACCCTCCAGTCCCGGTGGACAGGGGCCACATACATGTGGTAGAGCATGACGGAGACCCGGGGTGCCCACAGGAGGGTGAATAGCGTGGTGACGCCCAGGAGGATGGCCGTGCTCTTGCCTACCCGCGGTTGGCTCGTCCTCCGTAGCCGGTGGATGATGGCTGAGTTGGTGACCAGGAACACGCCACAGGGGATGAAATAGACAGTGAGGCAGTGAGCCCACTTGAGGACCTCATCCATCGTGCTGGGTGGGTCGGCATCTCTCCACACATCCAGCCACCAGTAGAAGGGGATGCCTGTCAACAGGGCAGCACTGAGGACAGCAGCAATGGCCCGGCGGGTACGGCCTGGGGACGAGGATGCCCGGTGGTGCAAGGGGTGGCACAAGGCGCTGTAGCGGTCAACCGTGAGCAGGATGGCAATCCAGACCGAGGCGTGGTTGGCAGCAAACTCCAGGATGTTGGCTGTGCGCACCACAGCCTGGGGCACCTGGCGGGCCAGCACGGCTCCCTGCAGGAGAAAGCCTGCGAACACGATGACCACCTGGGTGATGATATCTGAGGCCGTGAGTGCCAGAAGGTAGTAGTAGGAGGGCTTCCTGGTCCTGGTGGCAAGGCGGGCCAGGGCCACCGCGGTCAGCAGGCTGACTGATGGCAGCCGAGGTCAGGGAGGGGAGAGGCACAGGCATCAGAAGAGAGCTCCGACTGCTTTCCAAGGTGTCACTGTTGCCCCTCCCCACCTGCGTGTGTGAAGCTGTGCTGGCTTTTCCTTTTCCTCCTTCCAGATCCTTCTGAACCCCCACTTTGCCCATAAGGTAATCCAGGCCAGCTGTGCCCTGTCCATCCACTGCAAGCCACTGGCTGCACCCCTGTTACACACAGGTAAGTATACACGGCAGGGTGTCCTCAGAAGCCACCTGTCCTGGCCGTGTGTGGTGGCTCACACCTGTAATTCCAGCACCTTGGGAGGCCAAGGCAGGCGGATCACCTGAGGTCAGGAGTTCGAGACCAGCCTGGCCAAATGGTGAAATCTCATCTCTATTAAAAAATATGAAAATTAGCTGGGTGTGGTGGCACACACCTGTAATCAGGAGGTTGAGGCAGGGGAATCACTTGAACCGGGGAAGTGGAGGCTGCAGTGAGCAGAGATCATGCCACTGCACTCCAGCCTGGGTGACAGAGTGAGACTCCATCTCAAAAAAAAAATAAGCCACCTGTCCTATGGCATTGCCCTCCAAGTCCTTTTTAGGTTTTCTGTTTCCTCCAGAATGGAGGCGTCCCTGGACACAGGCACATGGGTTTAGCTATCTGACTTGGGGAAATCCCCAGGGCTGAGGCCATCCATCCTCCTGGTACCCACACACCTACCTCCGCCCCAAGCTCTGCTCTCTGAAGGCATGGGCAACGCAGGGAGCTTTGTACTGAGCTGAGTCAGTTCCTATGTGAATTTCATTGCCTAGGAGAGTGCTCAGTGCTGGGGAAGGCTTGGGCTTAGCTGTGAGCACCCCAAATCCTAGTGCCTCACTTTTATTCCCCTCCAGTGACCCAGAACACCCTCATGGCAAGGAAAGACCAGGGGTCTATGATCCAGGGCCTCAAGGGTCAGCACAGAGGACTGGCACCCACTGAAGGAGTATCCCCATTTCTGGCCAAGCCCAAGTCCCCAGACCCCAGCTCCCCACTCACCAGGCAGCCCTAGCCCCAGCAGGACACTGTAGTAGATGACGGGGATGACGCCAGCCACACATGGGGACCTCTCTGGGATCTCTGGCCAGTGGCTTTCAAACTCCTGGCTCAGCCCACTGCCATTGGGTGTGGGCAGCAGGGTCACTCGTGGCTGGCCAGCTAGGAGGGGTGGATGGGCAGAGTCAGAGCCTCTGGTCTCTTTGTTTTTCTTTTCTTTTCTTTTTTCCTTCCTTCCTTCCTTCCTTCCTTCTTCCTTCCTTCCTTCCTTCCTTTCTTTCTTTCTTTCTTTCGCAGAAAATTTAATAGACAAAAAAAGCAGAAAGAGAAAAGGCTTCCTCATGCTGAGAGAGCGGTTGCCCAAGAGAGGGTCTCTGCCTCTGGTCTATTTCTAACCTGGCTGGGCAGCAGCCCTGCCCTGACCTGGGGTCTTTCTAGTCACCCTGCTCTGTGCAGACCCTCTAGTCAGGCCCAGCCGAGTTCAATGTCTGTTGCTGTGAGAATTCTTGCCAAGACCACCCTCACCCCCACCCCACGTCACCCCACTCCCTCAGTGGCCCGGTCCCGCATTGATGGGAAGTCCCTGGTAGCACAGTCTGCTGCCACAGAGACCACTGCCCCCCAGTGGGTCCTCACCCTACAGCACGGGCTCTGAAACAGGATCACGGGGGTCTTGTGGAGACGCAGGCTCCTGGGCCTCCTCCAAGCGGGCTGAGCCGTAGGGTCTGAATCAGGCTGCAGCAGCTTGTAATCAGCATCCTGGCAATTCCGACCCAGGTGACGCCAGCCACGCACCGGGACCTATCTGGGAGGTCCACAGTGGAGGCCCCAGGGCTGCACAGCTCCACTCAACAGCTGCCCTCTCTAAGGAGACTGTTGCTAGGGCTCCTCTTTTCTAAGCTAAAGATACCCTCTTCAGAGGCGAGCACCACTGAAGCTGGAATGGCCCAGGTCTACAGATGGGGAAACTGAGTCCACAGGGCTAAGGTGTCTGGCCTAGGATGAGCACGGTCCGCAGGCTCTGGCCCCTGTTCCCCTGAAACCACACTGCACATCTCTTTCAGGGTGAACTCCAGCTACTGGTTTCCTGTTGAAGCCGGGGGCTCACTGCTCATTCACTGTCAGCTTTGGCCTCCGATCTCCACCCTCCAGGTCCCTAACCCACCTCCTGCTCCCTCCTGCCTTTCTACCTTATTGCCTCCCAGCTCACCCCATTTCAGGATGCCTTACCTGTGTGTCGTCCCATAAGCCCCATGCTGCGGGGCCCTGAGTCCTGGGTCACCTGTGGCTTCTCCTGGGGGGTCCCCGCAGCTCCCTGTCAGCTACGCCCCTCACCCCTCCGCTCTCTAAGTGGTTGTTTGCTCCACGGTCCTTCCCGAGACACTGAGCCTGTTAGTGCAGGGGGCGGGGTGAGGGGAGGAGGAGGAAGGAATCAGTGGGCGGGGGCACAGGGAAAGGAGCTAGAGGAGATGCTGCTGGAGCAAACCGGGGTCCCCTAGGTGCAGAGGCAGGGGGAGGGGAAGGGGTCAGGCTGGGCGGGAGGCTTCAGCTTCAGGAGAGATGGGCTGAGGGTGGCATGGGGTTCACAGGTCTGTCTATGCCTGGGGTAGCAGGAAGCGAGAAGAAGAGGCAGGATGGGAGGATGGGGGTTCTGGGGGGCTGCCTCCCACCTCAGGGCACTCAGTGAGCTGGCCTGGGCTCAGCTGGGATCACACCCTGGACTGAGGACTTTGGGGACTGGCACAAGGACTCGGGGTCCTGACTCTATGAGCATCCAGACTGAGAGGCATTCACACTGTCAGGGAAGAGACAATGACACCGCATGAGGAGTTAGGGGTGTGGTGCCAGGTAGGAGGGTTGAGGCTGCCGAAGACAGAGCTATGATCCCAAGAAGCATAGGGGGCCAGGGGCACAGGGGTCAGTCCTGCAGCGGCCATGTGGGGAAGGTGGAGGCTGCCACCAGGGGCAGGACGGCAGGCAGCCATGCACAGGATGGGGCAGCCTCTGGGAGCAGCCGGACCAGGCTGCCAGCAGCGGGTGCTGGGAAACCGTGGCCCCACAAGCTGTTGTTTTCCTGGTCCTGGTGAAATGGACCATCCTTCAAGAATATCGATCCCTGGCAAATAAACACCAGCCGGTGCCGGCAAGCACTCAGAAGAGGCTGGAATGGTTCCCCCGCCCTAGGGAAGGAGTGGCCAGGGCAGCCCACAAGTGGGCACCCGGGACATGGACACCCAGTGGACGGCCTCTGAAGGACAGCTCAGCCTCCCTGGAATCGCCTCCCATGGCCTGTTCTCTGGGAATGCAGCAGAAAATATGGCAGGGAATATAGGGAGCTTCCCGGCTCTGGGAGTTAGATCCCACCTGTGAGCCTGGAACTCCCAATGCCCAGGCCCACTGGGATACTCACAGCTGATGCCCTGCTGCCCCCTGGTGGCCAGATCCTGACCCTGCAAGCCTGAAAGCCCCATGGTTTGGCCAGGCGCCCTAGGTGGCACAGTGACACTGGAGAGGGGTCTGCCTGCTCAGGACAGGTCCTCTGGTGGAGAGCTGGGACCCCAGCCCCAGAAAAGGCAAGTAGCACAGATGATGCTCCAGGCCACCACCTCCTTGCAGCAGGAGGCTAGGGGTGAGAGGAGGCAGGGCCTCTCTTTAAGGAGCTGCCATGGATGAGGGGGACAAGGAGGGGTCCTGCCAACATTTATCAAGTGCCTACCCTGTCCCTATATTGTGTTTTTAAAATTTTATGTATAGATACAGAAAGAGTTGGGGTCTGTGTTGCCGAGGCTAGTCTGGAACCCCAGGTTGCAAGTACTCCTTGTGCCTTGGCCTCCCAAAGTGCTGGGAGTACAGGTGTGAGCCACCAGGCCCAGCTGACTTTGTTTTTCTGAGGGATGTACATTTGATTGGAAATCTTAAGTATTCTTCAAACAGAGCACAATGGTTTCAGCCAAGGCTCTCGCACAGGCTACGTGGGAAACTAGAGCTCCCTGGATTCGGAGCGAGGAGAGGGAGACAGGGAGGACTGGGGCTACGTTCGCTAATGTGATGGCCCATGCATGTCCTTCCAACAGCTTAGAATCCCACCCACGGAAGGCCTGTTCTGGGAGACAGCTGGATCCACCTGGCAGAAACTGCTGGAGTCCCTGGATGTTCTTCTTCGGAGGTCCCAGCTGCCCCGTGTGACCTGTGATGACCTCAGCCCCTGGAATGGCTGAGACAAGCGTGCCGGCTTTTCTGTGCATGGGACGCCATGGATTTGTCTTCCTCAGTACATGCTTCCATACCCAGGACAGCAGGGATGCCCTACAGGGAAGCGTGGTCCCGCTGGCTCCTTTGCACCCACGGGCAACGTCATAATGATCATCACCAATGATGCTGGGATCCCTGGAAATGTTCAGCTCAGTGGCAGCAGCGACATCATCAGCCAGCACACACCCTGTAGAGAGGCGAAAGGCCCCTTCTTGTTGCCCAGACTGGAGTGCAATGGCACGATCTTGGCTCACTGCAACCTCCACCTCCCGGATTCAAGCCATTCTCCTGCCTCAGTCCCCCAAGTAGCTGGGATTACAGACATGTGCCACCACGCCTGGCTAATTTTGTATTTTTAGTAGAGATGGGGTTTCACCATGTTGATCAGGCTGGTCTCGAATTCCTGACCTCGGGTGATCCACCTACCTTGGCCTCCCAAGTACTGGGATTACAAGCGTGAACCACTACGCCTGGCTGAGAGGCCCCCTTCTTAATGGCAGTGATTCTTTCCCACATGGTGTGGTATCAGTGGCCAGGGTAGGCTGCCAGCCCACGGTGGAAGGGATTCTATCCACTAAGGCTGACACCTCTGAGCCAGCCTGGGCAAGGTGAAAGATTTTGTGAAGACACAGCCGCACACCTGGACGTTTTGGTCTCAAGTCTTCAGTCCAGCCACAGCTACCAGGCCTGAGCACCAGGTGGGTCATTCATTTCCCCGTCTGCACACTTTGCATCCTCACAGCTGCTCTACAAGGAAACTCTAGTTCCCTTCATTTCACACAAGAGGAGACCCAGGATCAGAGAAGTTAAGCAGCTCTGCTAAGGTCACAGAGCTGTGTGTGGCATTGGAATTTGAACTCAGGTTCGTTTCTTCCTCAGAGCTGTTCACTTTTCACTCCCTCCTACAGAGGCAGAGGCCCCTGTAAGCTCAGGTTTCGGGGAGATGGCAGCCAGGGGTCAGCTGGATGACACTTGGATGGGGAACAGTGTGACTGAGGGTGCTGAGCAGGACAGTGGAGGTGCCCATGTCGGGACAGCCTGGCTTCAGGGGGAGCATCCTGCAGGGTGTGAATCACTTCAGGGAAAGATGACAGGGATGACACCAGCCACACACGGGGACCTCTCTGGGATCTCTGGCCAGTGTTTTTCAAACTCCTGGCTCAGCCTGCTGCTGTTGGGTGTGGGCAGAAGAGTCACCTGTGGCTGGCCAGCGAGGAGGGGAAGATTTCTTCTTTCATTTTTGGTATGAGACAGAGTCTCACTCTGTCACCCAGGCTGTGGTGCAGTGGTGTAATCATAGCTCACTGCAGCCTCAAACTCCCAGGGTCAAGCGATCCTCCCTCCTCGGCCTCCCGAGTAGCTGACACTACAGGTGTATGCCACCACGCCCAGCTAATTTTTGTATTTTTTGTAGAGACAGTGTTTCACCATGTTGCCCAGGCTGGTCTCGAACTCCTGGGATCACGCAATCCACCTGCCTTGACCTCCCAAAGTGCTGGGATTACAGGTGTGAGCCACAGCGCCTGGCCAAGGATTCCTTCTTATTTACTTTTTTGTTGTTTGTTTTTTTTGAGACAGTCTTGCTCTGTTGCCCAGGTTGGAGTGCAGGGGTGCAGTCTCAGCTCACTGCAACCTCCACTTCCCAGGTTCAAGCAATTTTCCTGCCTCAGCCTCCCAAGTAGCTTGGATTACAGTCACCTGCCACCACACCTGGCTAATTTTGGTATTGTTAGTAGAGATGGGGGTTTCATCATGTTGCCCAGGCTGAGCTTGAACTCCTGACCTTAAGTGATCCGCCTGCCTCCACTTCCCAAAGTGCTGGGATTACAGGTACGAGCCACCACACCCAGCCTTTATTTACCTTTATGTGCTCCCCTGAATACGCGGTGCATGGAACTTAAAGCCATGATTCCCTGTCCCCAATCCAAGTGGCCCAGTGACTCATGGAACCCTAAGTGAGGGCAGGAGGCACTAGGGATGCAAGGGAGGGTGCCAGGTAGAGGCCAGGCTGAGGGCACCTGGAGCCCACCCTTCTGAGGTGTTATTGCAGTCCAGTGTCTCATCACTTCCTTTGCTGATTCAGAAACTCTTAATTTGGCCCCAAGCTTGCAAGAGTTTTCTGTTGCTTTTATAGTACAAGAGAGTCCTCATCCAAAGGGATTATTTATCACAACTGAAAAACCTTCCCAAAAAGACAGCTTGGAGTTGTGGAAAGAAAAGTCAAGTAGCCAGGTGCAGGGGTTCACACCTGTGGTCCCAGCTACTTGGGAGGCTAAGGCTGGAGGATTGCTTGAGCCCAGGAATTTGAGGCTGCGGTGACCTATGAAAGTGCCGCCACACTCCAGCCTGGGCGAAAGAGTGAGACCCCACCTCTAAGCAAAAAGTCAGAAAAAAGAAGTCAAACGGAACAAAAATAAATCCCGCCTCTGCGGTTCCTGGCCACGAGGCCTCAGACATATGGCTTAGGCTTCCCAGCCCACCTGGGGTGGGAAGTAACACTCCTCTCTAGGATGGTGCTGGCTTGTGAACTCATCAGACTTGCCTTCGAGGAATTATGGAGCTCCCAGAGCCACAGGGCTAAAAAAAAAAAAAAAAAAAAAAAAAAAAAAATGCAGTGCTGCAGATCCTTCATCTCAAAGACTAAGCCTAGCACAGTGGCCCGTGTCTGTAATCCCAGCACTTTGGGAAGCCGAGGCAGGAGGATCACTTGAGGTCAGGAGTTCGAGATCAGCCTGGCCAACATGGTGAAACCCCATCTCTACTAAAAATACAAAAGTTAGCTGGGCATAGTGGTGCACACCTGTAATCCCAGCTACACAGGAGGCTGAGGCAGGAGAATTGCTTGAACCCAGAAGGCGGAGGTTGCGGTGAGCTGAGATCGTGCCATTGCACATCAGCCTGGGCAACAGAATGAGGCTCCATCCCCCCAAAAAAAAAAGACTGCTCAGGGTGAATACCTGGTTTTCTCACTCCCTCCCCAGGACTCCCCCCACACATACACATGCATGTACACACACCACACGCAGGCACGTACCACACACACACGTATCCACAAATATGCATGCACACACACCACACACATGCATGTACACATACACACATAAATACGCACACACACTGCATACACACGTGTGCACATGCATACCACATACACACACATTCCCTCTCTCTCTTTCTCCAGCAATGCTCAGACTAAGAAAATGACAACAGAGCCGGGTGCGGTGGCTCAAGCCTGTAATCCCAGCACTTTGGGAGGCCGAGGCGGGTGGATCACGAGGTCAAGAGATCGAGACCATCCTGGTCAACATGGTGAAACCCCGTCTCTACTAAAAGTACAAAAAATTAGCTGGGCATGGTGGCACGTGCTTGTAATCCCAGCTACTCAGGAGGCTGAGGCAGGAGAATTGCCTAAACCCAGGAGGCGGAGGTTGCGGTGAGCCGAGATCGTGCCATTGCACTCCAGCCTGGGTAACAAAGGCAAAAACTCCGTCTAAAAAAAAAAAAAAAAGAAAATGACAACAGAGAATGACTCTGTGGACAGCCGGTTTCTAAATCATTCAAGGAGGGCCAGGGATAAGGGAGGTTAGAAATAATGGGAGGTGGGGCCTCTTGGAGATGGGGAGTCAGAGGTGACTCTCCTGGGTCTTCTTGATGATCCAAGGCCTCCCAGTTTCCTTCACACTTGAAATGCCACCAATCTAACTCTAGTAGGTAGAGCCTGTCTTGGGGTGCTTATAACAATTGTCTGGGAGTGCACAGAACATACAGCCAGCCAGACCCTGCCCCTGAAAATTCTGGTTCCTCAGTGAAGCATGGGAGATTCTAATGTAGGTGGCACCCTTCAAAAATGACTGATACAAAATTAGCTGGGCATGGTGGCACTGCCTGTGTCCCAGCTTCTTGGGAGGCTGAGGCAGGAAGATCACCTGGGCCTAGGTGATGCTATGATTGCGTCGCTGCACCCCAGCCTTGATGTCTGAGAGACTCTGCCTCTAGAAAAACAAAAGAAAGAATGACGGATGCAGAGGCTCGGGGAGGCTGGAGTTGAGAGGCAGAAACATCGAATGACAGTCTTTGAGCGAGTTTTCTGAGTAATGGGCTCTCTTATTATCAATAGCATTCCTGTTGAAGGCACCGTGCTTGGAAGCTGGGATGCCCTCAGGGCCCAGGCTGCCTGCTACATGGAGACTCGGACTCGCTGGGTTGAGCCAGGACATGGCACAGCCCATGGGAAGGGCAGGCCGGCAGCCAGTGGGCAAGGGATAGTGGACTTGGATGAGGGGAGCCAGGCATGACAGTCAGGGCAGCCGGAGGGGTTTCCGCTGGGCTGGAGAGAGCCCCAACTCTGCCAGCCCGGACGAAGCAGATGCCAGACCCAGTTCCTGCTCTCTCTGCAGCTCCAGAGAGGAGGTGGAGCTGTTGGATCTCTCTGTGCCAGCCAGAGGCAGAAATCAATGCATTGAGCTGGTTCCTGGGATCCAGAGAGCCAGGGAGAGGAAGATTCAATTCACCCCCAACCCAGAGCCTTGCCTCAGAGTCAGAGCCCTTGGGAGCCACCCACTTCAGTTAGTCAGGCTCAAAGGAGTCCCTCCCATGAAGAGCTGGGGCAGACCCTGCTGGCTCTCTACAAAGGTGAGGACTCAACAGCATGCCACCCTACACACACACACACACACACACACACACACACACACACGCTTCCGCTGAGCTCCAGACCTCACTTTCCTCTCTTGCCTTGGTTTTTAGAAGAGCGCTCCTCTGCACTAACCCAACTAAGCCTGCAACCTAACCCCCTGCCTCAGTTTCCCTACAGTGGGAGTGAGACAGTAGGTCTGTGGCATGCCTCCTTGGAAGTCTGGGAAAGGAAAAGTTACAGTTGGAAATTAGACAGAAGCTGGTAAAAGCAGCCTTCCAAGGTGAACCCAGAGACCTGAGGCCACCTGGGGAAGGAGAATTGAAGCCAGGAAGTAGCGGGGCAGACAGCGAGCACCCTTGGGCTGGCTGGAGCTCATAACTGGAGGGTGGCCAGCCCCACTCTGTGTAGGGGTCGCCCATGCAGTGGTGCACGGGGCAGGGTGCATCTGCTCTATGCCCAGCCCTGCCACTGTGACTCTGCTTGCCCCTGGAGTAGGTGACAGTCACAGTCCTCACAGAGCTTTCCTGCTGGCCCTCCCACAGCACACCAAATAATATGAAACTGACACCAGTTACCTATGGGCCCCTATTTAGGAGACTCCTGAGCTCTCTGAGGAGCCACCCCCCCAACATGGGAGTGGGGGAGGGGTGGGAGCCTCCGCGGCCTCTCCTCTCCTCTTCCAGGCCCTTCCTTTGCAGCCGGCTCACCATGGCGCTCCAGCCACGAGGCTGCCAAGTGCGCTCCGTGCCAGGGCCGAGGCCTGGGGTTGGGGGAGGGAACTGGGGACCCTAGGGCCAGTGGCTGCCAGTGGCCCTGGAGCCCTTCGCCTATTCTTCAGAGAGCCCGAAACTTTCCAGGGAGAAGCACCGCTAGCCCTGCTGGGTGGTACGGAGACTGGGGGAGGACGGCTCCGGATCTGTTCCCCTTGGGGGCCCATGGGCAGCACAATAGCCCCTGGGGCTGCCACTCTCTGGCTTAAGTGGTTGCCTGGGCAACAGCTGGGGCCAGTTTCCACCAATCCATGGAGGAGGCTGAGTGGGGGAGGGAGGCCAGGCAGGAAGGGGGTGCCGTCCCCTTGTGCTGGATCCTATATAAGGAAGAGGGATGTGAGCGGAGTGGTCTGGGCTTCACCGTCCCTCCAGTGGACTTGGGGGCGGAGCACAAAGATGCCTAGGATAGGCTACTCCAAGCCTGGGTCCTGGGGCAGCTTCTGGGCCATGCTGACCTTGGTGGGCCTGGTCACCCGTGCAGGTGAGCGCGCAGTGGGCCAGGTGCGGGCAGGGTGGAGCGGCTGGATGTCCAGCACTGGCTACATGCAGCCGGCCGGGAGGGGGCGGTGTCCAGCTGCTGGGAGAGCACCGGGTGGACCGGACAGCTCCATAGGCTCATCTCTGAAGGAAGGAGGGGCCGGGCAGGCAGGCGGGGAGAGTCTTAAGGACGGGAGGACCCTCCATTGCCCATTGTCCTGGGCAGAGGCTGAATAGGGACGCCATCAGCATTCAGGCCCTTCAGAGTGACAGCCGGGGGAGGCAGGGCTGGGAAACTCACCACCCGCTTCTCTCTCACCCTCCCTTTCTCCCTTGGCCCCTGTCTCTCACGCACAGATGGCTCTGCTCCTGTGTGAGCCATCTCTCCCGTGTGTACCACGGGCCTGTGTGTGCTGTGCGTGCTCGTGTGGCCCAGCCCCTCTGCTGCTATCAGGCCCCCGCTTGCTTCACTCTGCAAGGCTCCCCTCACTGTTCTCAGCTTGGGAAAGCTGCTGACAGTTTCTGTAAGTGAGTGCATGTCCCCATCTGACTGTCAGGGCACCCCCTGGAGCATGAGAGAAGGGGCTGCCTGGGCAGCCTCGATGCTCTGTTACCCAGGGAGTCCTATTCCAGCACCAGCTGGCCCTCGCACTTTCTCCCGTCCCCTGCTGGCCACCCACAGAAAGTGGGTTTCTGTCTCGAATCAGGACCCAAAAGGGCGGGGTTGGGCCTAGAAAACAGCTTCCCTTCCACACCTGCAGCCTCATCTCACACCCGCCCCCTTCTCCTGCCACTGCTCTGGCCTCCCTAACCCTCCCTCTGCTCCCAGCACACCAAGCCCATTCCCTTGGAGGGCCTTCGCAGGGCTGGATCCTTGCCTTGACACTGGTCCCTGGCTGGCTCCTTACAACTGGCATGCTTATTGTACGAACCTCACCTGTCTGATATGTCCATTTGTGCTTTTATGAGCATAAGAACTTGGCTTGCTCTGTCCACTGCCATATCCCAAGCTCCTAGGAGAATGTCTAGCATATAATAAGTGCTCAATAAATATTTATTAGTGAATGCACCACTTCTGACTACTGCTCCAAGAGATTAGACGGACAATTCTTTAGGAGGTAAGAAAGGTGGTACCACGAGTTCCCTCCACCCTTGCCTGGGGGTCTGGCAGCATGCAGATGAGTTCCGGGCGTGGTATCCCAAACCTAAGCACAACCTCTCCCTGCCTGAATCACCCCTTCCAAGAGCCTCCTCTTGGGGTTTGCATCAGCATGACCCTCCCACCCGGGATGTGTTTGTGCACAGACGCATCCACGCACCTCATGGGCATGGTGTGCACACACAGCCTGCCTAGGCCCCTTGCCCTCTGCTCACATCCATGCCGGTGTCTCTGGCTGGTCCCTCTGCACCGCTGACTGAGGCCCGGGGCCTGGGTGCCTTCTCAGGCAGCTGCATTCCTTCCTGCTGCAGCCCAGAGAGCCGATGTTGGCGGGGAGGCGGCTGGCACCTCCATCAACCACTCCCAGGTGGTGCTCCAGCGCTTGCAGGAGCTGCTGCGACACGGCAACGCCAGCGACGTGGTTCTGCGGGTGCAGGCTGCAGGCACCGACGAGGTCCGGGTCTTCCACGCCCACCGCCTGCTGCTGGGCCTGCACAGCGAGCTGTTCCGGGAACTGCTGAGTAACCAGAGTGAGGCGGCACTGCAGGAACCGAGGGACTGCGCCGCTGTCTTCGACAAGTTCATCAGGTGGGGATGGGGAAGACCGGGGGAGGCTTCATTCCTCCCTCAGCCCCCGGAGCCTCCACCTACAGGGTTGAGGAAGCCCAGGCCCTTAGATCTTGTAAGGTCCATTTCCCCGGACATCACTGGGATGACAGTGCCCCCCGCATCCCTCCTTCCACCACACAGCTCCCTGTCTTTGCCCACGTCATCTGTGAAGTTTGATGTCACTTCCAGTTCCTGGTAACCCCCCTCAAAGCTGTTTCCAAACAGGGCCATGGGAGAGCTTTGTAAAACCACAGTTTTAGGGCTGGGCATGGTGGCTCACACCTGTAATCCCAGCACTTTCGGAGGCTGAGGCCCGGATCACCTGAGGTCGGGAGTTCAAAACCAGCCTGACCAACATGGAGAAACTCCGTCTCTACTAAAAATACAAAATTAGCGTTTTGGGGCCAGGCACTTGCAATCCCAGCATTTTGGGAGGCCAAGGCAGGCAGATCACTTGAGGTCAGGAGTTCGAGACCAGCCTGGTCAACATAGCGAAACTCAGTCTCTATTAAAAATATAGGAAATTAGCTGGGTATGGTGGCACTCGACTGTAATCCCAGCTATTTGGGAGGCTAAGGCAGGAGAATCACTTGAATCCCAGAGGCAGAGTTTGCAGTGAGCTGAGATCATGCCACTGCACCCCGGGCGGCAGAACAAGACTCTGTCTTAAAAACAAAACAAACAAAAACAAACAAAAAAACTACAGTTTCATGGGCCCCAATCTGGATCGTCAGTTTCAGGCGTAGGGTTAGGGTCAGCAATCATTTTTTATTGTATTTTATTTATTAACTTTTTATTTTCCTAAATGTTCCATTATGGAGGAATTTTTATTATTTATTTTAAAGCATCCCTATGGTTTTGGTGTTTGGCCAAGTTTCGAACCACAGGGCTAGGGAGCTGAAAAGTTAGCCGCTCTCTCCACTTCCTGCCTCCTGCCAGGGTGTTGCACAGGGCATGCCATTCACGCTAGTGTCTACGAAAGTCTGTTCTAATGGCTCAGATGAGATGGTTGCAGAACTCCAGACATTGCTTCCAAGTTCCAGGCAACAAGAAGGGGGATCAGACAGAAAGGCACAAAGAGTCTTCCTGTTCCCCTGAATCAGTTGCATTTAACCAGCCTTCCCACAAATCCCATTACTGTGCCCATAGACCAGAAGTTAGTCACATGACCATGCCCAGTATCAGGGAACCTGGGAAATGTAGTCTTTAATTCCCAGAGGCAATCACGCAGGGGAAAGGGGAGAAAAGGATGCTGGGGAAGATGGCTGGCAGTGGCTGCCACGCTCCCATAAAGGCAAGTGAGGTGCCGTGTGCCAGTGGGGACTGGCCCAGGAAGAGGAAGCAGGGGGACAGCGGCAGATGAAATGAGAGGGAGAGATGGTCCCCAAAAGTGATGATCAACAGAGGGAGAGGAAAAGGAAAGGTGAGGCTGCAAAAAAGAAACGGGGCGGACACCTATAATCCCAGCACTTTGGGAGGCCAAGGTGGGAGAACTGCTCAAGTCCAGGAGTTTGAGACCAAGGTGGACAACACAGGGAGACCTCATCTCAAAAAAAAAAAAAAAAAAGGCCGGAGTGTAGTAATGTGATGATCATAGTTCACCGCAGCCTTGAACTCCTGGGCTGAAGCTATCTTCCCGCCTCAGTCTCCCAAGCAGCTGGGACTACAAGTATGCACCACCACGCATAACTAATGTTTTAACTTTTTTTTTTTTTTTTTAAGAGATAGGGTCTTGCTATGTTGCCCAAGCTGGTCTTGAAATCCTGGCCTCAAGCAATCCTCCCATCTTGACTGTTTAAAGTGCTGGGATTCCAGGTGTGAGCCACTGACTCACACCTGGCCGGTAGCAAGATTCTTTATTCTCTTCCGGTTGTCACAATGACCCTGAGGGGTGTGTGCCACTCCCCTTTTTCCTAGAGGATTGATTAGCCTAAGGGTCATTGAAGTTAAGTGGCTTGCCCACACTCTCGGCAAGGAGGAGGCAGGTCATGGATCCTGTCCAGACTGTAAACCCCAGTGGCAGGAGCCACGTCCCTTTTGTTCCAGTCTAGAGCTGCTCGCCTAATAGAGGCAGTCAATGCGGCAATTCCTCCATCACAGCAGAAACGGAAAGAAGGGCCTGTAAAGTAAGAATGGCCTAGAAGGGTCCCTGAAAGGAAAAGACGGGAAGCCTTAGGGTGGGGCTTCCACTGTGTTTGCACCCGGACCACGAAGCTCCAACTGCAGGCCGGGTCCCCTGTGGACTCAGAAAACCTGTACTGGGAGGTGCGTGCCGCTCTGACCCCGCCCCACCTCTGTCTCTCCCGCAGGTACCTGTACTGCGGGGAGCTGACTGTGCTGCTGGCCCAGGCCATCCCCCTGCACCGGCTGGCCACCAAGTACGGCGTGGCCTCCCTACAGCGCGGCGTGGCCGACTACATGCGCGCGCACCTGGCGGGCGGCGTGGGCCCGGCGGTGGGCTGGTACCACTACGCTGTGGGCACCGGGGACGAGGCCCTGCGCGAGAGCTGCCTGCAGTTCCTCGCCTGGAACCTGTCGGCCGTGGCGGCCAGCGCCGAGTGGGGCGCCGTGAGCCCCGAGCTGCTGTGGCAGCTCCTGCAGCGCTCGGACCTGGTGCTGCAGGACGAGCTGGAGCTGTTCCACGCGCTGGAGGCCTGGCTGGGGCGCGCGCGGCCGCCCCCAGCCGTGGCCGAGCGAGCGCTGCGCGCCATCCGCTACCCGATGATCCCCCCGGCACAGCTGTTCCAGCTGCAGGCGCGCTCAGCCGCCCTGGCGCGCCACGGCCCCGCGGTGGCCGACCTCCTGCTGCAGGCCTACCAGTTCCACGCCGCGTCGCCGCTGCACTACGCCAAGTTTTTCGACGTCAACGGCAGCGCCTTCCTGCCCCGCAACTACCTCGCGCCCGCCTGGGGCGCCCCGTGGGTCATCAACAACCCGGCCCGCGACGACCGCAGCACCAGCTTCCAGACGCAGCTGGGCCCGAGCGGCCACGACGCGGGCCGCCGGGTCACCTGGAACGTGCTCTTCTCGCCGCGCTGGCTGCCCGTCAGCCTGCGCCCCGTTTACGCCGACGCCGCGGGCACAGCGCTGCCCGCCGCGCGCCCCGAGGACGGCCGACCGCGGCTGGTGGTGACGCCGGCCAGCAGCGGCGGCGACGCGGCGGGCGTGAGCTTCCAGAAGACCGTGCTGGTGGGGGCTCGCCAGCAGGGCCGCCTGGTGGTCCGCCACGCCTACAGCTTCCACCAGAGCAGCGAGGAAGCTGGCGACTTCCTAGCGCACGCCGACCTGCAGCGGCGCAACTCGGAGTACCTGGTGGAGAACGCCCTGCACCTGCACCTTATTGTCAAACCCGTGTACCATACCCTTATCCGGACCCCCAAGTAACCTCGGGGTCGGGGAATAAAGGCCTGGCTTAGGTGGTCCCTGTGGATCTGGGAAGGGCGAGGCGAACGTGGAGGTGACAACAAGGCTGCTCCCCTGGATGACCAGGTGCAGGTCCCATGGATGGCCAGGTGAGGCTGCCTTCGGGCCGGAGTGGCCTCCAGGTGAGGTGTGGTAGGCAAGATGGCTGGTTTCAAGAGCTGATTTCACGGCTGACTTGAAGGAATGTTCTCTGTCCCGAATAAACCGATGCTCAGAGTAGTAAGGGGATGATTGAACCACTCAGTTTCTGGGTAAAAACCGCCCGGAGGGCCCCACAGTCAGGGGGTTTAGGGGCTTCACTGCCCTTTGTTGAGCTTTTCTCCAGCCCAGACACAGAACCAGGGCAGGTAAAAGCATCCACGTGGTCACAGCAACCCACCTGCCTGGGAGTCGAGGAGCACCGCGTTCCCCTTGCGGGAGTTTCCTCACCTTGAAGCTGAAGGACTTGGCAGTTTCTGAGCCCTGACCTCGAGGGGCAACCCCCTCATCCGGGTTGTGAGGCTTTCTGGCACCTGGGCCACCCCAGACCCTGACCTCTCCTGGGAGGGTGGCTGGGCAGGTGTGAAGTCCTGTGGGATGGGGCATAATGGACCTTGCTAGCCCCGCCCTGGGGAGAGGCCTTAAGATCTAGAGAAAAAACCCTCTCCACCAGGTATTTGTAGGGTTGTGCTACACAGTGAGTGAGCCAGGGAGAGATGGGGACTGGGAGGAGGGGGATGGCGTCCTGTCGCCCAGGCTGGAGTGCAGTGGTGTGATCTCAGCTCGCTGCAACCTTCACCTCCGAGGTTCAAGAGATTCTCCTGCCTCAGCCTCCTAAGTAGCTGGGATGATAGGCACCTGACACCATGCCCAGCTAATTTTTTGTATTTTTAGTAGAGATGGTGTTTCACGGTGTTAGCCAGGTTGGTCTCGACCTCATGACCTTGTGATCCACCTGCCTTGGCCTCCCAAAGTGCTGAGATTACAGGCGTGAGCCACCGCGCCCAGCTGGTTCAATCTTAATCAATCAGTCGTGACCACCCCGCATTCCAGACAAGGTTGAGTTTCCAACACAACCATCAAGGCCCAAACAGGATTTTATTGTTAAAAAGGAAGGGGGAGAAAAAGCCACTGCCAAGTATAAAACCAGATTCCCTCCCCACCCACATCCCCAATTGTCATGCGTGAAGTGCCTGTCGGCACCTCCCCAACCATCCAGGATGCCCGTGCACCAGACGTGGGCCAGGAGCCCCATCTCATGCTAGCTGCTTTCCCCCATTTCCAAGGCCGAGGGTGGCCTTCGGTCTGTGCTGGGTTTTGGCAATAGCATTCTGTCCAGGGCTGGGAGGCCAGGGAGCCCAGCATTCCCGACCATGTACCCTGGCCTCACCTCTTTTCCCTGGTGGCACTGAAAGCATGGGAGGGTTGGACAGACACCCCAGTTCCTGGGTCTCAGGAGCCCTGGCCTGCTGAGATCCTGAGCTCGTGCTCATCCTCCTGGCCATCCCCATCTGCCCAGCCGCCACCTCCCATGCCCTGCTAGCCCCCATTCAGTCTTGGGAGGTGACAGAGCCGGTTCCAGGCAGGGCCCCTCAGTTATGCCGGGAGCATCCATCTTTGCCATGGGTGCTTACGCCGTGGAGCAGGCGAGGCCCACGGGTAGCCCTCTGAGAACCACCAGCTGGGTTGGGGGGAGCAGCCAGGGGTGAGGAGTCTCCGGGGCCTGCAACAGGGAAAGGGGTAGGATGGGCGGTTTCGGAACGCCTCCCCGACTCCTCCTCCATCGCCCAGTGGCCTTGAACGCTCTAGGGGCACAACCCCAAAATGCCAGTCCCATGAGTATTCTGCTAGACCCATGCTTCCAGCAAGGGGCAGCCAGAGGTGCAGGGAGGGCAACTTGTCGTCTCTGCTCCCTGGGCTGGCAGAGGCTTCCCCTCCTCCTCCCCTCCGTGCTGATACTGACCCGTGTTCTGGCTTGGAGGGAGTTTGACTTTGGCCAAAGGTAGTGTGACCTTTCCCAGGTGCCGGAGGCCAGGGGCTGGGTGCCTGCATGCTGGCATCCTGTGGTCCGAGGTGTGTTCTGCCTGATGGGGCCCCAGGAGGTGTGTCTTGGGACGGGAGAGCTGTGATGGTTGAACAATGGGGTGAGGCGGAGAGCAGCACAGGGATCTGCTACCGGGATCTGTCCCAGCTTCTACGCCAGGCTGGGGACAGAGGATCTGTGAAGGGTGGTGCCTCTCATAGTGCTGTAGGCTAGAGATGCCCCGGAGCCTCTGGTGAAACCCAGCCTACGGGCCCTTAGCTGCTATGGGGGTGCCTAGACACCTGCCCCTGTGCCCCCACTCACCCCTTGCCCAGTGACCTCAAAGGATCGAGACCTTCGCTTCCTTCTTTTTGCCTCCAGCGAGTCCTCCCTTTTCTTCCCCAGACTTTTCTTCTGGCCACGCAGCCAGGGCCCGGGGCCATCCCCATGATGCCGGGTCGCCCGGGATGGGGCCTCGCCCGTGCTGCTGGAAAGGTTATCCTCACTGGCAGCGTGCTGCAGCGTGGGGCTCGGTGGACGCTTGCAGGCAAGTGGGCCTGGTGGCTGCGCGTCGTCACCCTTGCTCAGAGAGTGCAGGGACAGGCTGCTGCGCTCTGTCACGGGCACCAGCAGGGGTCGTCCCCTGGTGCCCAGAGCCCGTGAGCGCCGCCGGGCAGCTTTCACCGAGATGCACTTGGTGCCAGTCAGGATCTCCTTCCTCTCTGCAGTGGGACACAAGAAACACAACCCGAGATCAAGGCCACCTCTCAACACCCTCCTCTGACAGGGCAGACATGGGTCGGAGCCAGATTGCCTGGGTTTCAAACCCAGCACTGCCAGGGGTTTGCTATGTAAGAAACTTGGGCCGGTTCCTGAGCCTCGCTTTCAACTGTAAATGGGGGATGGTAAGACTAATGACATCAGGTTATTTCCAGGATTGGAGAAAATGGGTTCAACCCACATTATCCAGGGGGTAGAGAGTGAATCAATATTTGCTATTACAGTGATTACTGAGCGGGAAGGGCACAATTCTCCATGCCACATGTCTCTTTTCTGATTTCTGATTTTGCCCCCGTCTCTCTAAGTGTCCTTGACTGACTCATCCTCAGGGGCAATGCTGACCTACAGAATGTGCAGCACCCAATGCATGGTTGCACTTGGCAGTGCAGAGGGCAGGAAAGGGCTCTGGGCTGGGTGATCTGAAGAGTTTAGACAAGGCCAGGTGGGGTGGCTGGGGCAGCGGAGGGCACACACACCTTTGCGGGACAAGGGGATCTCTGACAGGTTGTCGCTGCTGTCTGGCGAAGAGTTGCTCCAGCTGCCCAGGCAGTCCTGAGCGGGGACCTGTGGGATGGGGTGATTGGGGGGAGGAAACTCTAGAACACAGCAGGGACCCCATGCCACACTTGGGAGAGACAGCGGGGCTTCAGGCTGGTGCCGTTTGGGAAAGGCTCCATCCCAACGCTGCTGTCCACCCCCACGTCCTGCACCCCCTGCAACAGATCTTGTGGGGCCATCAGGGGTACTGAGAGCTCACCTCCTGGGTCACCAGGCTGCCGAGCTGGATGGGAGGTGGCGTGGGCACAGAGGAGCTTTTTGCCTGCCAGGCCCCAGTACCAGGCTTGAACACGTGGTGGCCTTCACTGAAGTTGGCAGAGGAAGACGAGTGGCTGTAGACTGGGCTCTCTCACAGAGGACCCACCCCCGCCCCAGGGGAGAAGCTGTTGGTGTGAAGGGAGAGGGAACCCAGGAGTCCTGGCTCTGGCCCTGGGCCCCTCCTCCCTCTCATTGCTGCCTCATATTTCCCATTTAGCCTTAGTCTGGGTTGGCCTCTCTGGAACAGGGCACAGGATGGGGCTGCGGCAGGTGGCCCCCGTCTCACCTCTCTGTGCTGAGGGGAGGGAGGGTGCCGTTCTGCAAGCGCTGGGCATCGGAGCTCAGTGTCTTCACACTCTCCAGGTCAGAATCCGGGGTCAGTGAGGTTCCTGCTGGAGTAATTTTGGGCAAGGAGCTGTCCTGGGGAGGAGGGAGCCAGGGTGGACAGTTAGAAGATTTGGTCCTGGACCAGATTAGCACAGAGTAACAAAGGCTCATAGAGTGACAAGGACTGTAAGATGGCCTGGGAGCCCCAGAAGAGCAGTGGGCTTGTGTTTGGGTCCTTGGAGGTAAGCTGTGGTCTACTAGGCATCCCCAGTGGCACTGCCTGATGGCTTGGTCTCCTGGGAGGGCACCTGGGGCCATTTGTGATATCTCAGATGGCCAGCCCTGACCCTCAGACCCTGAGTGGGGACAAAGGATGAAGATCAGTACCCAGGGATGGAGGTCTTAGGGTCGACAAGGCTTTGGGAGTGGTAAGAAGGAAGGAAGTCAACTCCCTGGGGTGCCAGCCAGCCGGGTCCTGTCCCTTCCAGCTGCCTGCAGGCATTGCCTTGGTCATCAGCCGCTCCCCTGCGCATGCACCCATGTTCAGGCCGCCCAGGCGCCCACTCACCTGCAGGGCCCTGGAGGCCAGCTGGTCCATAATGGTGGCCCGCTCCAGGCTGCCCTCTTCCAGCTCCCGCAGGTACACTTCGTAGAGCTCCTCCAGGCGCTGCGGGACGGCCAGGTTGTAGTCTGCAGGGGGAGGGGCAGGGCTCAGCGCGTGCCCGCGGGCCCCCCGCAGGTGGCTCAGATGCGCGGGGCACGGGCCCTACCGTCGATGATCTGCCGTTGACCCTGGATGATCTCGTCGCAGAGGCTGCGGTGCTGCTCCAGGCGGCGCACGGCCTCGCGGCGGTGGCGGAGCGCGCCGTCCCGGAGCAGCGCGTGCGACTGCATCTCGGTGTTCTCCACCTCCAGCTCGTGCACGCGGCACAGCAGGCTGAGCACCTCGCGCTGCTCCTCCGAGCCGATGCGCCGCGGCAGCGTCTCCTCCAGGCGCCGGCCCCGTGCGCGCAGCTCCCGGCAGCGCTGCTCCAGCGCCAGCTGCAGGAGGCGCAGGTCAGCAGGGAGAGGGGTCCGAGCCGCCTGTCCAGCCTTCCTCTCCCCTCCAGCTCCTGGACTCCAGGCATCTCCTGGAGCTCCAGGCTGAGGCCCCCGCTGAAAGCTGCATCTTTGGCCTTACAACCCTGGACAGCTCCAAGCTGGCCCCTCAGTGTCCACTTTCTTGCCCCTCTAACCACAACCCAACCTGGAACCAGCCTGGGGGATAACTGCCCAACCCCAGCCTATCTGACGCCCTCAGGGC